AGGAAAGCAGCTTCGATCCATCCCTTTCCCATCTATCTAATGTGTCTTCAAGAAAACCAAAGGCAGCAGCTATTCAGCAAGTTTTAGGGGGCTCAATATTATTTTATTGCTGTGACGCGACTGCACGCGGCGGCACGCAAGGAATCAGCTCGCCGGATATTATCATAATCCTTGTGTACATATCTACAAGCAATAGTTTTTTGAGCCCCCGAGGGCATTCTCATAGGTTACACCACTAAATTTCGCATACGTTACTTTTGAAAAGGCACACGAGTACTGTAGAATTCCACTAGTCACTCCACAATCTTCTCAACACAACAGCGATAGAACAGAATAGATGAAGAAGCACTTCAAAGTCACGCCATGCATCTTTAATGTTCTCGAATACACAAGCATAAAAAGTACAGCCTTATTCACTGCGGATGCTGGGGCGTGTCAATATGCTGGGGTTGATGCGGTGCCAGCTAGTTTTCCACCAATTGTGGTTGCCTTCCAGCACCACAATTGGTGGAGAACGGGCTGGCATCGCATCAAATCCAACATAATGACACGCCATAGCATCCGCAGCGAATGAGATTGTAGTAAGGGCCCTTGAAAGCTGGTATAGTTGAACAAAACTAATTTAATTGACCAGCTAAACTAAATAAGGGAACAATAAATTACCCTAAGCCTTAAAACCGAGGGGGTCGGCCAAAATCACCCTAGAGTCTCAGCACCTATTCCACGCATTCGCCCTGATGTTGGGGAGATTTTTGGCTAAATGCGTACCCCTCCCAAACTTTCTCCATCGCTACGACCCCTCCTGGCAGTACTCTGTTAAGGTTTTTTCCTCCCGAATCCATCCCCTCCCACCCACTCCTTCTCATTGTTTAGGGGTGTTCGGAATGAGAAATTATTGCCCCCGCACACCGCGGCGCTATTGTTGTTGTTGATGACACACTCATTCTGATTGAACTGCTTTCTGTTGTTTGTTCAAAACACAGCAGAAAGTAATCGCCTAGGAATGTACCCCCCCCCCTTCCATTCGAATTTAAAACGCAGTGGTGTAATGTTAGTGACAGGCAACATTTGTTTCACAAACGCGCATTTTCTTATCAACTGGTACGTATTGTTTGAAATGAATGTCAAAGATGCTTCTTAAAAAAAAACTAAGATTGGTTCTTTTATTCGAAATATTTCTGAGAGCTGTGAAGACGGGATGTCGCAGAAAGTATGGAAAGCGTCGGCGCTAACGTAGTTGGATGGGGCCACGGTTCCAGAGTAGGCCCCTGGTTGGCGGCACGGCGCAGAATACTAAGCAATTTTCTGATAGTTGCAATTAGTAGTTCTTGGTGACGACCACCCCCCTCCCCCTGCCCCACCGTTCACGGCAGTTTTCGGGGCTCGTACCAGAGAAGGGAAGTGGGGGTCGAAAGGGGGGGGGAGCTCGTAGTGACACCTCCTTTACACATATCGTGACGCTGTTCTCTTACAGGTCCACCACGGCGAACTGGTCGCCTGCACCTGCTACCAAAGTAATAATCCAGTGCGGTCCCTCCATTGTGTTAACGTCAGAGCCTCAATTACTTGACTCAGATGAAGTTTATCTCTGCGATTAATTTATGACGCTTTGATACGCTACAGTTGAAATGGGGGCTGACTCGGTAGGTGGGGCATTCGGTGCAATAGCTAGTGCGGTTACGGTACTTCCGATTCTGCAGAAAAATAAACTTAAAGCTACGAAATGCTAGACTAGAGGAGGTTCTCAAAGATCTCTGTAAACAAGAGAGGACTCCTTGAAAATTTCTAAAAATTCAGTTTGACGGAGGTGCTCTACAGATGAGTTTCCTTGAATAAATAAAAAAAGTATATTATAGTTGAAACCACGCCCAGGTTCTCAGAAACTAATCACAACTATACCATGCAGAGACAGAAAAGCATGCATTAGAGCACTGAGTCAGGATATCGGCGTTTCAGGTTTGTTAGAAAAACCTTTGACTGTCGTTTGGTCGTTAAGTATGGGGCATTTCGTGCAACTGCGAACAAAGTCCAAACCGGACAGTATGCCCACGCAAAAAGTATTTCAAACTAGCTATAAGATCAAGTTTGTTTTTCTTTGTTGCTAATTGGCTCAGTGACCGTATTCGGTGGCAACTCGCTCGGAAACGCCGATAGCCTTGACTTCACATGCACATGTTACGCGAATATGCACACACTGCCTCAATACCGTATCTCGAAATAATAGTTTTTACAAATGACAGTCAAATATGACGTTTGTAACCCCTCACATACAACAAAAGGCGAGAATCTGCTTGATATCGAAACTTTGGTGCTATGTGCGCCCAATGTGTAAGTCTGCAGTTTTGCGTTAACACTAAAGTGGCCTACAGCTTTCACAAGGTGCTGCCGAGCTGGCAAACTTTTTATCATTTATTAAAAGTTGGAATGCACGAGGTAACCCAGCCACTCCGAGACTTCCTTTCTCTCTCCCTGGCTCCTAAGACTGCAGGATGCTTGAGCGCTCACGCAATATTACAGACTGTTTTCTCCCGAGGCGCCAAGGGTCGTTCTTCCGCTAGTGTCGAGGACTTTACGGTATTGAGGAGCAATATGCACACGTTCACATTACCCAAGACACACCCACAACGAAAAGACACGCTCACATCACACGAGGAACTGAAAGATACCTTTCGCCGTGCTCTCAGCATTTTCAGCGAGACGATGAGGTCACGTGTACCCGGAACACCTGGTTCACCCATTTTTGGCGCGACATAGTCGTCGAGTGAATCGTCTGATGGGCACTTTGGTAGCGGCCGTAGAAGAGGCGTTGCCCGAGTAGGTAGGCGGAGCGATCCTCGGAAATGAGGCGAGAAAAACGAGGAAGTAGGGCCTGGCCGGTGGGGTAGACGGCGTGCAACAGGTTGAGCGGGGCTCGGATAGCTGAAAAGATATCCTTGGTTATCATGTGAATCGATATACCATTTGTTGTGATGAAAATATTACCTGCAAAATTCCCTCGTTGGAGACCGTAGGTCTCTCCGGAGTAGAGGTAGCGAGAGGACTCAGTGACGGCCTGAAAACGCTTCAGTTGCTGATTGATATACTAGAGTTTTAGAAGCTTGCAGCGTCAATCCGCACCGCGACCGCTCGCGTCTGCAACCGGCGGTCTCACCGCGAAATGGGAACGAAAGCTTTTGACAAGTAGGCAAAAACGTACCCAGCCAATTCAGAACAGGATGTGCTGACATCACACGTGAGCTTCCGTGTCAGCTCAGGCCGCCTTCCCTGTGGAGTTTCGGGAGTTGGTACCACTTCGCTCAGCGGCGTTTGAGGTGGTGCAACGGGCTCAATAGAGATCTTCTTACGGACCACTTCGGCAAGTACGCTCGAAGGCACATCGAATTCCTCTTTCGATGGCGATGAAACTTCCATCTGGAATGGGGTTTTGTCTCAGCAGAACTTTTCATCACATTTTTAAATTTTTATGTGCTTATTTGGGGACACTGCGGGGCGTCCCCTACGTAACCCTGCCCTTACGATCGGCGCGGAATGTGCCGTTAAGTTTTTGCTGATAAAATAAGCACTCGTACAAGGCAATTTTCTGTAAAGTTCAAAGTATTACCACACCGCAGCGTGCAGAGGGCACTAAAGTGGAGATGTTACCCTAAACTGGTTCGAAACGAAGAAAATGTTCTAACAGTGTAAAATTTGAAATGGAGAGCAACGGGTAAAAAGTGAGTGATAAGCTAGTTTCGAGTCTTCAGTCAGATGGAGAACATTACGTTGAACTGAATCGATTTGTTCTCCTAAGAAAGAAATCAGGTGCAAAATCCTACTGTTTAAAAGGGACAACCAAGAAAAGATATAGCCTCAAGAACTTCGACTGGCCCAAGAACAGCCCTTTGCAGCTCGAGTCGTAGCGATAGCGCTTGTCCTGCTCGTGCACTCATGGCTGGTGTTGTTGAGAAACCACTGTCGCTGTTTTCCAACTCAGATGCCTAGCGAGTCGTAGAGCGAATCCACTGAGCCAGATCGCATCGGTGGTGCTGACCGGAATCGGCACAACTCTTCTTCAGCGTCAGAGAACAAC